GGGGGGGGGGGGCTGGGGATTTGTAGTTTTATTCTTATTATATATTATATTATCATTTCTTATATATCTATATTAAAGGGGCAGACATTGTTTTATTCATATACTGAGCCCTGGCTTCCCTCTTATAGTGCTGCACAGTGACTGTATTTTACTCTTGCACTTCTCCCAGATTGATAGGTGGATGGCGTATGCTACCTGCTTTTATCCCAGTGCTTGTTCAGCTCAGATGCTGATTTCATTACCATTGTGAGGGGCTAGCTAGTTAGGGTCGCCACCTTTTCTTCAAGCCAAACCCGAACACTCTAGCGACGCGCAGACATTTTTTGGGGAGAATAAGTCGTAGTTTATTCATATGTACATAGCGCCGCCCATTCATATGTTGAGACTGTTTTCAGTGGGGGGGCCAGTAGCCTCTATCTTAATTTTGGTTGCCCCTGTCTGCCTGACACCTTGTGTCCGGGTTTCTGATGCCATGAAACCCGAACACAGCATTCAAAACCCGGACTGTCTGGGTGAATCCCGGACAGGTGGCAACCCTATAGCCAGTGGAGGGAGAAAGCACAAGCTATACATGGAATAGAGCAATGGAAATATGGGACAGCAACTGATGGAAGTAAAATGCATTCAGATAAACGTTACAATAACACAAGAGTCTGGATGTGCTACAGAAGTGTTACAGTGGCGTGCAATGCATTTTGTGTCAAGGTGCTTGTTACCTGGAAGAGGTGTTTGCAGTGAGCCGAGTCCTCTTTCCTGATTGGTCACACACAGACCTGTAGGATGCTCCCTCTAGTGGCTGCTTTATAATCAGCATCGCATTGATTCCTGCACATAGCTAATGAGACGGCGGAGAAGCAAGCAGTTACATTTCTCAGCAGCCAAGAGATATAATTCCCAGTGCAGTCCCAGCAGTCCCAGGCTTTGCTTCCCTCGCCCTCTGCCTGTGCTGCACCCTTATCGGTAACATTGTTCCCGGGTCTCCCCGTGGACTACAGAACACCTTCCCCATGTTATGCAGATGAGGAGCAAAGGGGGTATTCTGTAGTCCTGTACTAGGATGACAACACTGCTCCTCCATAGATACCCTGCAGTTGCCACCCTAGGACAGGAAGTGCTGGCAGGATCACCAGGCACAAAAATAAAAAATGAAAACGAATGCAGCCACCACACCTCAGGACCGGTAAGCTGCATGTTTCTGTTTTTTTTGTATGTGGTTTGCTATGTATGATGCTGAAATTCCTTTGAGAAAGTATAGGAAGCCGGTGCGTAGTTGGCTCTGCCTATAACTGATGAGGCTTTTCTGGAAGGACTGGCCCTTTAATAGTATAATGGGCTCTTTTAAAGGAGAACTCCCCGCAGCCCTAATTCGGAGCAAAATGGTCACATGACCCAATCCTGCTTTACACACAGCCCCATGCCTCTGGCTGCCAGGAGCCAGGTGAGGAAAATGTGAACATTGTTCATGTATGTGGCTGCCTATTGTTTAAGTAAGTCTAATCCAAGAGAAAAAGCTCCCATGGTGCATGTGACTGCTTTGTGTCACATGACCCATCAATGCAGCCGAATGAACACATGGTACGCGGCGGTGTCAGGCAATGGAATGTGAACTGTCTGTGATGTTCTAGAAGTATTACATTGTCTCATTTAATTTCTTCCACGTCAACTCCACCACAATCTCCTGCCTTGTGTTCTACTTTATATTATTTCATCACTGCAAAGTCTTCCCCCTCATACAGGTTTAATGATTTATAGTGGGTGGGTGCAACCTGCAATTATTTCTTATATAGCTCCCCCACATGTTGTTATTATTTTTTTGCCTAAGGTGCAATAGTGACCTTCAATCCTGAGTTGTGCGCTGCAGTACCTCTATGCTGCCACAAGATGTCCTCAGTCTTCCGTGCAGAACCCAGAAAACTGAGCACATACTGTGAGTGCAGGGTGTCCTGGCCCCGCCCCCGAGTACCCCATTTGCCGCAAGGACAATCGTTCACAGTTAGTGTGACGCGGTCACTCCACTCAGGACTAGCCAAGGCGGAGATGGAAAAGGACTCTCCAGAGTCACGTGACTGGCCTGACTTACGCAAAGGTAAGTATTAAAAGACTCAAAAATCATTTTTGTTTCCATTTGCCAATAAAAGGGATAAAAGATGTCATAAAAATTAATTTCTGATCCATTTCTAAATGTTTGTTCCTGCACTCAAACCTTTCCCCTATTGTTCTCCCATCAACCTTCCCCCCCCACCCCCTTTGTCCCCCGGTGCCCGGTGGGCAAGGTCCATACATACCTCTGGTCAGAACCGCCCAGCTCAGATGTTGTGTTTAACAGAGAGCTCGCTGTGTTTGATTTCTAGACGCGTTCCGCACCTCCTCAGTACGAGTCTCCTTTCCTGTGGGAAGCGGGCAGAGAGCAGCATGAAGACTCTGGGCGTCCTCCTAGTCCTGGCGCTGGCCGCCGTGGTCACCCTCGCCTACGGTACGTAAAATTGATGTTCGTGTCTTTTAATGACACAGTACAAGGTGGTTTGGCTGCTGCTCCTCTAAATGATAGACTGTGTGTGGGAAAGGCACAACAGGGGGATTTACATTGTTATTAAAAAAATCAGGTAAAACATGTAAAAGTTTTAAAAAACTCCATTGTACGTTCATCAATAGTTTCCATGTTGCAATTTCTTTTTGAATTTGTACTAAAGGGCTTTTACGTAGAAGCCACCGAACCAGATTATCACATGAACAGTGCTCCCTGCAGCCCCTCTCCCCCTCTGCTGCAGGAGCCTAAGGTCCCCGAGTCATCACTGTGTATAGGATGTGAGGGCACCAATGCAGCAGAGGGGGAGACAGGCTCCAGGGACCGGTCTAAGGTTTAACTGCCTCCAAGGATCAGGTGAGTATAACTTTGTTATTTTCCTCCCTAAAGCGAAATGAGAACTTTACCCTTCTAATGCATGGATAGCCCTACTGCAAGAGTTAAGAACACAGCCTGCTGTGGCAGCCGGCTGGCTCCGATGATCGGGTGCAGTGCAGGGGGTAGCCCCACTGCAAAGGCTAATACAACATTTCCCCAGAGTTCTGCTTTAGAGAGCAAGCGCTCTTCAGCGCAAAACATGTCAGAGGTGACACCCCTGCTGCTGTCTAAAGTAAAGGCCGGAGTGCAGAGATTCATTTTTCTTTTTCTGGGTTTAGTTACAGAGATAAAGTTTAGAAAAATAGATTTATCTCCAATTTGCTACAAATGTAACGTCTTGAATTTTACAAAGTCACAAATATTATAAAAACAGAAATGCAAATGGTAAAGTTTTTCTATCTATCTATCTATCTATCTATCTATCTATCTATCTATCTATCTATCTATCTTCTATCTATCTATCTATCTATCTATCTATCTATCTATCTATCTATCTTCTATCTATCTATCTATCTATCTATCTATCTATCTATCTATCTATCTATCTATCTATCTATCCACACACATATACAGTATATTATACATACACACACTGTGGGAGGATTTACCAAAAGAAATGAACTTGAATGAACGAGAGTATATTTGACTGTTTTTTGTACTTTGCGTAGTTATGATTCTGTTAAAGGAGAACTATGGGGTCAGGGCTTTTCCCCATAGTTCTCCTTAGGGTAACGGGAGGACACAAACTGGCGTTTTCCCGTGACCCAAAGCTCAGTATATAGCAGCCTACAGCTCGCGGTATACTGAGACGCCGCAGCCGTGACGGATCCCGACATTGCTGTCGAGATCCACCAAGCTGTGTGATTGACAGCTGGCTCTGCCTATCTAAGGCAGAGCCAGCTGTGCCCGCCCCC